TATATATATTGTTATATATGTATATATTTGTTATATATATATTCTTGAATTTCATTTAGATATCTGGTGAAGAAAAAGAGGATGAACAAAAGGAACATGAAAAAATTACTACGGACGAGTGTGTTTCTTATGGCAGCCTAGACAATGACCAAGAAATTGCTACTAAAAAGAACGTAAGTCAATTTACTATTCATTAAAATCAATTTTTAAATTTCATTAGTTATTAATTATTTTTTATTTAATTAAATAAAAAATAAATATCAAAATTATAATTTTTAACGTAAAGATTATTTATCTTAGTATTCTTTTTTTAAAATAGAAATAAAATGGTAACATGATAAGTGAAATAATCATGTTTTTTTGGAATTTGGGGGAAACAGGAATTTGTTCTTAAACCCCTTCCAATTCAAGAACCGGAGAAAAGAGCTGGTCAAGTACCAATGATACCAGATGTAACCATTCAAAATACTGATTACATGAAACATGGTTTCAACGAAGATATGGCAGGAAATCCAAAAGCCACATTAACGGAATATCTTCTTTCAATCGTGTATATGCCGCACAGTCTTCGTATGGTGTGCTTAACTAATTTATTCTGTTGGATGGCACACGTATGTTATTCCTTGTATTTCACGGATTTTGTTGGAGAAGCTGTTTATGGTGGAAATCCACAGGTATCTGAAATATTAATATTAATATTAATATCTCTTTGACGCTTTGTCGTTTATAATTATTTCTTACTAATAAATTTATTATCATAATTTTTTATTTTTAAGTTTTTATTTGTAAATTACAGGCTCCAGAAGGTACCAAGGAAAGAGAATTATATGAAAGTGGAGTTCGTTTTGGATGCTGGGGAATGTCTATGTATTCATTATCTTGTTCTTGTTATTCACTGGTCATCGAGAAACTCATAGAACGCTACAAGTATTTTTATATAATTAATATTTCCTTTTTCTTTTTTCTTTTATAAAATATAAGAAAATAATTAGTTATTATTTGTTAAAATACGATCATATGCTAAAAATAATCTTTATTTTATTTTTTACTTAACTTCTTTATAATATTCCTTATAATTATAGATATTTTGATAAAAAAGAAAATAATTTTCTAGACAAAAGATATATAAGCGTTATTTGTTTTAACAGAGCTCAGAGAGTTTACATTTGCGGCTTACTATTCTACAGCACCGGAATGATGATGATGGCATTAACGAAACATCCCGCAGGAGTGATTATATTCTCATGGACCGCAGGTGTTATGTATTCCACGTTATTCACTATGCCGTATCTACTAGTTGCACATTATCATGCTTCATCCACTGTAAGTCTTAAGAAATCTTAAGAATATATCTCAAAATGAATCAATCAAAAAATTTAAATAATTCATAATTCTATTTAAAATTAAAAAAAAAATCTAGAATTATCTGTATAAAAAATATTATTAGAATAAAAATATAAAAATATAATTTAGAATTTAAATTTTTTATTATAAAAATGTAATTGTGTTTAAAAAAAAATAAAAAAAAATAAATAATTTAAAATAAAAAACAAAATTAAAACTTAAATTTTAATTATATTTATTAAAAAAACAATTATTAAAAAAAAAGATGAAAAAACAATTTAAAAAACATAAAAAATACACATATTTTTATATTTTTATAAAAATTAATAGTATCATAAGTATACATTATAAATTTTATTATCATCTATTTTTTTATGAATGTTTTATGAATCAATGAGAATAATTTAATAAAATAGTAATACTATTAAATGGCATAACATAAAATGTAAAAAACATATATGTGCATATCGGATATAAATTAAATTAATTGGCTTTGTATGCAGTTCGAAGTAACAACCGAGGGTGAAGCCATTCAAAGCGGAGGAGTACGTGGTCTTGGCACAGACGTTGCAATCGTCTCTTCCATGGTGTTTTTAGCCCAGTTCCTACTCTCCTGTTGTCTCGGGACAATTGTTAGTAAATCTGGAACTACTACGGCGGTGGTATATGTAGCTAGTACTCTCGCTGCTTGCGGAGCCATTTCTGCAACGCAGATCATGTATCTGGATCTTTGAGTTTACTATTATTTTTTCAATCAAGATTTAATTTTATCTGTTAATTATTAATTTTATATTTATTTTTTAAAAATAATAACTAAAAAACTTTATTATTTTTAAATATTTTTTAAAAAGACTTTAATATTTTTAAAATGAAACGTTACTCACGAATTTCTTTTTATAAAAATTGACATATCCATCATTTTCGATTTATTTCAATTAATTATATATACATATATGAAAAGAATTTCAAATATGAAAAATCCGTAAAAACTTTAATGAAAAAGTTGTGTGTAAAAATAATAATAACGGTAACGATGCACAAATAATGGCTTCGTAATCTACGATACATTCATACAGATACAATTCTGTATAATTCAAGAATATTTGTAAATAAATGTAACTTACAAGAACATAATAAAATAGTACAATCCATATCTAGATAAAAAATATACCTTATATTAGTAAGTCATTATCATAGTTAATCATCGTGTGATATCAAGCCACAAATTTCAAGAGCAATTTCGATTTCTCTAAAAATTAATCTACTTAAATCCACAATGTATTTTTTAACATATTCATCTAATTCAAAATTCTATAAAAACAAAACAAGAAATATTTATTACTATATTTTTCTTATATTTTTATCTTTTATGCATTTTTTATTAAAATTAAGAAACAAAAAAAAATAAACTTAAAATTATTATAGAATAAGATATTGAATGAAGAAGATATTATAGAATGATGAAGTTTTTCATAAATTAATTGAAGAAGAATAATTTTTTTATAATTTTATATTTTTTTAAAAATATTTTTTTTGTAATTTACATAAAATATTTTTATAGTCAACTATTAATAATAAATTTCTCCTAACACATACATTTAAATGAGTGATCCCATACCTTTATAATTTCACATTGTTTGTCCTTACAAATTACAGGAAAAGAAAAAAATATTCCAGATCGAATCGAATAAGAAAGATCGGACAATACACCCATACTGGTCCATTCATTTTCTGGAGTACCATTCCATAAGATTTTACAATGCTCTGCTAATGCATAAGCTATGGAATTAATTAAGCATGATCTATTGTTGGTACTTTGAATAATCTAGGAAAAGAAACGTAACTATTTAATTAACGAATATTAAATTTTATTTTATTCACAATAACAACAACATACACATAACAACAATATATTATCTTATGATAATTTAACGCAATTATTACAATTTACAATTCATCCTTAAAAAATTTGCAAAAATTTTAACAAAAATTCAAATAAAGCATAAAATAGATGAAGGAAATATATTTTTTCTATTAAATATAATATTAATAAAATCTTTTTTTAATTAAAATTTTTAATATTAATATTAATATTATATTTTAATATCAATAATATTAATAATTTTAATATCAATAATATTAAAAATTTTAATATCAATAATATTAAAAATTTAAAAATTGTTAAAAGAAAAATATTAACATTAATGAAAATAATAAATATAATAAAAATTTATCACATATAAAAGATCTAATATAATTGGTGTATGTTATTAATATATTGTTATAATAAATCAAAAAATTAAATGAAAGTTAAGAAAAAAATGAAAATAAAAATCTTACACGTGGAAGATCATTATATATCCAAATTTTTAAAGAATTTTTCATAGGTTTTCCATTGGTAAAATATAAATACCTACAATCTGGAAAACAATATGTTCCATTTGAACCCCAAATTATTATATTTTTCACTTCCGTTGGAAGACAATTTGCTCGTGCGGCAATCTAAAAATTTAAAAATTTGTCAATATTATGTTATTTAAAATAATTGAAATTAATTTTAAATAATTTATAATCATAACTTAATATTAATAATATTTAAATTTAATCTGCATAATAAATTAAAGAAAAACAATATAATAAATTTAGAAAAAAACATTTACATAAATAATACATATACCTGAGTTTTAACAATATTTAAATTAAGCATGGACAAAGTAGTTATATTTTTAATAGGAATAGATTTCGCATATTTGGATATAATCGTAGCAGCAGTATTTCCGAGTACAATAATTCTTGCATCTTTTTTCACATATTTATTTATAATTTGACCCTATTGGCACAATTATATAAAATGATTTATAAATCTCAAAAACTTCAATATATTGAATTTAATGAAATAATATAATATATAATAATTAATACATAAAATTTGGATATAAGAACATAATCTTTAAAAAAGGATTCTGTGTATTCGGGTTCTTTGAAATTATATTCTCTCGAATGACCAATGCAAATTACAACATCTGCATCCTTGAATTCGAAAGCATTATTGCTGTAACTGATACCTATAAATATACATAATATTATATATATTCGTGAATATCTTTGAAGAATCGATTCTAAAGACCAAAACAAACATGAAATTTAATATACAAAATATATATACAATATAATATATATACAAAAATATCAGTTAAGATTTATTTATTAAATAATTTAACTTAAATGAAGAAAAATAAAAATATGGAAAGCTGATGCTATACCGGAAAACTACTTCAATTTTTCTTCATCTTAAAATAAATTTTAATTGCTTATAATTTAATAAATTAAACTTTAATCGATATTTTTATGAACCAATTTTTTTTTATATCTTTTTTTGTATTCTTATCTTCTAGAATCGATTTTTTAAAGATGTCTTATAAATATATCATTGTATTATATTATTAAAGATATTTCGTTATCGTCTATATTCCTTTAACAAATAATCTGATTATTTTAGTATTAAATTACGATTATCTTTTTGATTCTAATATTCAAACATTTGATATTTGAATAATTTAGCATTCAAATATATGATTAACATAGTACTCGAATATATTATTATTCAAATATTTTGTTAAAAATTAAATAGATCTCTTTAGAATATTTATATCATATTTATTATTTAAAAGTAAAAAAATGCATAAGTATAAAAATGCACATGCATTTACCACTTAGAAGCTTAGGGCTAAAGGAATTTAATTCAATTGCAAGGCTTTCCAAAAACATCGTCTTGGTTGATAATTCGTAAAGACTGATAAAAATACATTGATTTTTTCCGAACACATCATCAGTAAGTATTCTGTATAGAAACGATCGAGCAATTTCCGTTGTGCCATCTGTAACTACTATTTTCAAAACATTATTTTTAGATAATTGATGAAAATAATTATTAACCATGTATTCGTTCTTTTCTAAATTCATGTTGTTTTTTGTATCGTTTAATAAATATCGATATTAATCATAGCATTATATTGTTTTTTTATATATATTGTTTTAACTTAAAAAAAAAAACAAAAAAAACAAAAAGAGATAATTTTTAGACAGAATTATAATGAAAATATAATTATTTTATTAGGTGCGCAAATTATTTATACATTTTTCTAAAATCTCTTTTTTAATACGAGGGTAATCTGGATTTTGTTTCAAAACTTCGTTGCAAGCTTCTATTCCATCTGCATAAGCTTTAGCTTTCATCGAACAATAAGCTAATTTATAGGCGATAGATAATTTTGATTTTCCGCCATATTTCCATGCTTGATTGTATTGCGACGCAGCTTCACGATAATTTTGTTCCTTTTCTGCAATGTATCCAGACAGTTCATGAGCTCTTACACAAGTGGCATTATGTTGTAGAACACGTTTTAAAAGATCATTCGCTAAATCATATTTGTTAGATTGTACATAAATGTCCGCTAAAAGTAACCAACAACGTTCTAAATATTCAGCATCCTCAAAAGTCCATGTATTCTTGCTGACACGTTTCAAATGATTTCGAGCTCTAGGAGTTTGTTTCAGAAGAATATGAGCCATTGCCATGCCTAAAGCTGGTCCAACATGATCTCGTAACGCTTCTTGACTAGCTAATGTTGTACAATCTTGTAATGCTTTTTCAACATTGGATTTTTGTTTTGTTGCAAGTAGGAAAAAATTACTTAATAATCTATGTGTGAGCATTTCGTGTGGACTGCCTTTAGAATTCAAATCCTAAATAGAAATAATTCTTTTAGGATAATTCTTTCATCAATATTTTATTTAAAATTTAAATTAAATATACTATATATATATATAAAATATAACTCTAAAATTATAAATTTATTATATAATATTTTTTTTTTTGCTTTTTTTTAAATACCTGTAATAAACGATAGGCTGTTTTCAAAGCCATTGTTCTAGAATCCTGATATTCAACATCATCGTCATTAAAGACTTCATTTGAAAGAGAAGAATCATCATCTGGATCTAAACAAATTTCGATCATATTATATATTGCTTGTTGGCCCCACTCAGGATCACGTCTTGCAAAATTAAATTGACGAAGTGCGGAATTTAGTCGTCCCAAGCGCCAATCTAATAAACCGGCACAATAATAATAACCGGCTGTTAAATTTGCATTGCTCATTTCTTGTTCTGCTCGATGAAGCCATTCTTCAAGATCGTCCATATCTCCTATAAATTCATGACATTATAAATAAGTTAGACATCAGAAATTAAATAAAAAAATTTTTAATTTTTAATAATTCACCTATTCTACGAGAAACTTCTATTAATCTCGCTAACGCGGTCCAATAAGTTGGTTGTTTTAATAATAGTTGTCGAAAATGAAAGGCTGCCGTATCAAAATCAACTTTTCTGAATGCAAGATCTGCCATCATTATCGAAGCAGCTTCATTATTAGGATCAGTATTCAAAAGAACTGTGCAACTTTGAGCACATCGATCTAAATTATTAGTCTACCAGTTCAAAATATTAATAAATTATTCAATGATTACCATTTATGTATAATTATATATTTTAATTACCTGCATATAAAGCTTTGCTAAAGATAACAAGGCGTTTATGTTTGTAGGTTTATGATTTAATGCTTCCTTATAGTATGTAATAGCTTGATCATAATCTCTTAAAGAAGAAGAATGATCAGCCATTGTTAAACAAATATTAGCCAGAAGCTGTTTCTCATCTTCTAAATTAGAGTTTGTTCCCATTCGTTGCATATATCTGTGCTGATTTTCTTTAGCTTCTTTCAATGCTGATAAAGCGCCTTGTACATTATCTGCTTTTTCTCGAGTTTTAGCAAGCAAAAGTTGAAGTTGAGTGCGTACTTGTAAACTCTTTAAATCTGAATCTCGACGACCTTCTAAAATATGAATAAAAAATTATTAAAATAATTAGAAATATATATATATATATATATATTATCTAGTAAAAATAATTTTGTACCTTGCAATTCCTGGACCAACGTAGCTTCCGCTTTATCGTATTGTTTCATCTTTATGAATAATTTTGCAAGATCTAATTTTAAGCTTTTAAAGTTTTCTTGTTTCATCACATCTCTGTAATAATTGATGGCTTTTGTGTACTGATGCGTTTTTACGAGTGCCTTTCCTAGCTTACTTGCAATGTCTATTTTATTCCTAGGATTCTGTTTTAAAGCTTGTTCATATGCTTCTACTGCTCTCTCTGGTTCTTGAATAGAAATATATGCATCACCAAGCATATTATATGTCTTAGGACCAGGACAATGTTCAACCAATTCTCTATAAAATAAAATATTCAAACAGAATGAAAAAATATAAAATAGAATGAAAAATATGTAAACTTATGAAAAACAAACCTGAAACACATAGCAAAAGCAGGACGATCTTTTTTGTATTTCAAATTTATTTCGGCTAAACGCACATGTGCTTGCAAATAATAAGGTTGATCTGGAGTTACTTTAGATAAGCAATCAATGGCATTATCCAATTCTCCCATTTCTAAAAGTAATTCAGCATTTCCTATTAATATTTTACCTTCTTCTGAAGTATTTCCTAGATTTACTTTTGCATCTTGTATTATAACAATTGCATCATTAAATCGTTTCATTTTTCCATAAGCAGAAATCAATTCAAGATACAATATTGCCATATCTGATGTTGAAATATCTGAGATTTCTAAATTACTCTTGTATGGTTGCATTCCTGCATATGACATAGCTGTTTGAAAGCTTTTTATTGCACCTTCCATATCATTTGCCTGTTTTTGAACCATACCAGTAATTAAGTGATAAATTGGATTGTCTCTGATTTTAAAATTGTAACTTAAACCAACTTCAAGACTTTGTGAAGCCAATTGATAATTCCCTTGACATGCTTGAATCTGAGCCATTAATAAATGAGCTTTTGCATTAGATGAGTCAACATTATCTAAAAAATTCTTTAATATATATGAAGCTTCTTCTAAATTTCCACTCTGCATTTTAGCTTTACTAATTAATAATTGTGCCATACTTAAACCAGGATATGCTTCTGATAATTCTTCTAACAAATATAAACTTGCCTCTTTATAATTGGATATATTTTCCTCAAAATTTGTTACATTATTTGTTATAGAATAAATTAAACGTTGTTTGGAAATTTCTAAACATAAATCAGGATTTAATTTTTTTATATAATCGTAACCATATGGTACATATTTACAATTGTCCAGTATGATTGTAGCTGCATTGTTTAAATAATTCAGAGCTTTGATGGAATCATTGGAATTTAATTTAGCAGATATAAAAAACAATTCTGCGTCTACCGAATTAGATTGTATTTCCATCAAAAAATCTATTTGCTGTTGTGCCAAATCCGAAGCATCGATCGAAGTGTCTAAAAATTGACAATGAGCTAATCCCATCAAAGCAGCAAACGAAGATTCATTTATTCGAACAGCACTTCTATACCAATATTCTGCATCTTTTATTTTATCTAATGAAATATACAAATTTCCTAATTCCACCATAAGATCTGCATTTTTCAAATGCTGTTGTAATATTTTTTCAACGATCTTAGAAAGTTCTGTTAAAATTTCTTGATTCTTACAAGCTATTCGTGAAAATAACTGAATATTATTCACTAAAATTGTAATATTCTTTGTTTCTATAACTATCATATTTCTAAAAAAAGACTGTAAATGTTTTAATCCTTCATTGAAATTTCCATCTCTGCAAATATTTACAAATGCATGTGCTTTTATTGCTTCCAAATTATTCGAATCAATTGATAATATTCTGTTAGCAGTATCTAGAACTTGATCCCAATCCTTCATTCCAAGTTGATTATACAATTTTTCAACCAAGGGTAAACATAATTTAGGATAACGTACAATTAATGAATTTAATGTTAATATTGCTCCTGTATAATCTCCGTGTTGTTGTTTATATTTTGCAAATCCAAGCAAAGCATTCACGTTTTTTGGATCTTGTTCTAGAACAATTTCGAATAAACTTGGTTCGCTCGAGTTATTTTCGCTTATAATAAATAAATCCACCCAACCTTTTGTTAATAGAATATTTTTATTAGATGAATCGAGCTTATAAGCTCTTTCTATGTATTCTTTAGCTTTATCAATCTTCTGAGATAAAAGCAATACCAAAGCTGCTAATAAGAGGGCATTCGAAGACGATTTTCGTTTCTCATCCCTAATTCTTGTTTCAATCTGTATTATAGTAGTTTTTTCAACGTTTTCATTTTTCATATAAACAATACTTTGAAGAAGCAATGCTGCCAATGTATTATCTGCATCATTCATTAAATTCGAACTTTCTTTAATTGCTTCTTGAATCTTCCCAGTTAACATATATGCAAGACTTAGAAAAATTCTTAAGCATTCATTTGTTGGATATATTTCGCATGCTTCTTTGCAATAAAGTAACATGCCATTATAATAAAATTGATAACAGAACCATTCAATTATAGTAATATATTCTATCTCCTCCATTTTATTAACAATATGAAGCAGTAATAAATTTTAAATCATAAATAATTTAACTCAATAATTACTCAAGATTTCAATAACTAATGATATAAAAATTATTTATTAAGAAGAATATATCAAAAAATCTTCTGGATCAGGCAGTTCATATATAATATTAGGATCTAAGGATTTTGAATCAGGTCCTTCTAAAATATGTGGTGGTCCAACAACATATTCTTCAAGATCTGGATTTTTAATTGCAAGATAATACTTCTGCATGTATTCACATGTCAAATACATATAATAATTATTCAGAATAACATATGTAAATGCTGTCTAAAAAGATTATATATTGTTATTATACATTATATACATATACTTTTATTATATATTATAATGAAGAATAATAAAAAAGAATAATAAAAATATAATTCAATAATATCATTCATGGTTTCATTCATAATAAATATTTATTTGAAAGTACAAAATAATAAAAATAAATTTTACCTCTGTAAGCAATCGTGCTAAACCTTTTCCTGTATATCTATGAGGTACATTAATCCTTTGCATATCTAAGACTTTTCCTTCAGATACATAGTGCAGTACTGCTCTTGCTAATCAAAAATAAAAGAAACAAATATATTTTAAAATATTATTTATATTTACAATAAAAATCGAGCTTCTTTCATTTTTTCTTTTTTTAAATAGAAAATATGAATAATAATTAAAAACATATATATTATAATAATAATTTCTCAAATAATATATCTTACAATCATTATCCAATTTTACGTAGAAAAGTCCTCGTTTCTCATTATGATGTACTGTATAAAATAGTCTTGTAAATCTGTTTCGTTTTATTTTTGATGATATTAATGACGATAATTTAATCGTATAACTCATACCATTTGTTACATATAAAATACTGATAATAAAATGTTTTTTGATAATCCTAATTAATTATATACTTACACATTCATTTAATTTACAAAATATATATCTTTTTCATAAAAACTTTGAATATATAATAGGTTAGACTTTTGTTGATGAAGTATTGCTTAGCAACAAAATTGATTTTAAGTGATGTTTTTTTTACAGGAAAATATTTCATTTATAAAATATAAATGAAATATGATATAAAATATTTATTTGTAAAAGATTATTAATACTATATATTAACTTTTATTATTAATAAGTTAATGATTTTAATAATAACAAAACACGTATATAAAGATTAAATGTTAAAATATTTTTTTATATCCAATTTTAAATAATTCATATAATTTATTTATTGATATTCAAGTTTTTTTTAAAAAAATATATTGCTATAATAAAGATAAATTATAATGAAATATGATATAAATCTATCTTTAATATTCATTGATGATGCATCAAACCCATAAACATTAAGATATATTGATATAACAATACAATGTCAACATAAATTTGTGCTGTTGCAAATACAACTTCATCTGGATTTAATTCTATTCTTCTTCCACCCATAATTGTTTGTATATCAAAGAACAAGTACTAAAAAATTAATATTTTTTCATTTCTAAAATATATCATGTAAAACAAAATATATTATACTTGAATTAAATAATTCTTTTAAAATATATATTAACTGTTGATAATAAGGCCATTCCTATAATTGAAATCAGGATATGTAATAATCTAATGTATGTAAACATCAAGGTTATTATCAACACAAAAATTGATACAATAGCAGCCAGTCCAATAATGAACAATATCCCTGTTCTCATGGTTAAATCAAACTGTAAGATTATTTATGTTATTTTTACTTTTTTATTATTTCATATATAAAACTTTGTTGAAAGTACCTTAGTAAATGTTGCAATGAGACTTATTCCTAATGTAATTAATGTTGTCATACCTAATGCCATCAAAATTATTTCAATTTCATAAAAGGCAGATACAAAAGCAGCTAGATATGACATAGCAATTGTCTGGAAATAGTATTTTTTTTTTTAGTATTGAATGTTAAATAATAAAAACATTCAATCAATAAGGTTTTAATATAATTAAAAACTTTACCAATAAACATAGCCACAAATAATTGAAAGGTGGAGATCGCCTAGCTCCCTCAAAAAATGATATGGCACAAAAAGAAATAGCGAAGCATATCCTAATAAAATACTGCATTATGCACTAAATAATATATCTAAGTAGTTGCAAAATTTACATACATAGCTACAATCCACAAATACCAATGAATTATCATAAATTTTCTTGCAGAGTCCCTGCAATACAGTTATTAAAATAACATAATTCATTACATCAATTTATTAAAGTGATATTATTAAAACATTATTAAATTATAATGCTTACACGAATAGAAAAATTGCTATGACACCAGATGTAAATAATAATTGAAGTGTTAATATACAGAAAACTTTTCTAATAAAAGTTCTTCTCACTTTGTCTTCTTTAAATTCGCCTATGTACTCATCATCTTCTATTTCTCTTCTTCGTTGTTGCTCGCGCCAAGCTCTATACAATTGTTCGTTTTCTCTTTCTCTTTGCGCAACCATTTCATCAGTGACTACAGTAGTATATGGACCCTAAAAAAAACATTATCAATAAATTAATTATAATATATTGATTTATTATATAATATATAATAAATATATAATTTATTATAATTAATAAATAAATACATAAACATAAGTTATAATTTAGTACTCACTGTTTTTATTTTCTGCCCTCTATATAAAGGAGGTAATTGTGGAGGACCTGGTATAAATCTTTGATTTTCTGCCATTAGATAATTGACAATGAAATTATTTTGACTAAGAAATATTTAAATCAATAGTTGTATACTGTCTATCACACCAGAAATAATATATCTATTAAAAGTATAATATAATCAATTTATAATAAAAAAGTACAATAAATTATTTTCTAATTAATTAAAATTTTTTATTTAAATTTAAAAAATATCAAAACATATAACTTTTTTTTCTATTTTTTATAAATATATATTCAAAGATATTTATTTCTTAATTTTATTTAGATGCAAAATTTTAAAATACTGATATAGATTCATAATATGAACATACAAAATGTCAAACTAAATTCATGTATAAACAAATGAATGCATTTATATATAATGCATAATAGAAACAAAATACATTTTTAAAATATAATACATAAATATAAATATAAAACTTAAATATTGGTCAATATCATTGAATGAGATAAAAGAAATAGAAAGCAAGAGTTACTTTAATTCTCTTATTGTAATTTTTTTATACAAGTGATATATGTATAAAGTAGTAACAATATGCATATCTTTTTTTAACAGTAATGTAATTCAATTAGACAATTCATTTTAAATTATATTATAATTAACTACATATTATAATTATAATTATATAATAATAAATTTTTTATAAGTTCTGGAAAATAGTATATTATTTTTAATTTATTTTAAATTTTGCTTTTTTCTCTTTCTTCTCTATTAAACAATATATTATTTAGCAGAACAATTTTTTAATAAAAATTGTGTACTATTTACGAACATACAGAGTGTTTCTAAAAATATATAACAATCCAGATTAATTGTCATAATTGATTAAATGGTATAATTCCGTATAATATATCTATAATTGAAATAAAAAATTATATAAATATTATCACTATATTGAAAGTATTAACAACATGAAAAGTATTTTACA